TGTTTGCTGATTTGTTTATTAACTTTGCTTACAGAGGCTGGCAGCTGGTGAGTGGTTTACAGCTCGAGTTTCAGCTTGTGGACTGTTTCATATTGCTTACCCAAGTGCTCCAGATATGTTGAAGACAGAAATACGTTCAATATACAGCCAATTATGCCAAGATGATATGCCAATGGTGTGTCAGGGCTGCTGCGACAAACTTGGGGAAATTTGCTGCCACCGTTGAAGCCACTCATCTCAAGACTGACATCATGTCCATGTTTGAGGATCTTACACAAGATGGTAAATATTTTTTTGACAATTGCTGTCCTACAATTGTTAGTAACGGTGACAATATTCTCACTAAAGTGTTAAGAAAATGTCTAGAATTTAGAAATGCTCGACATGGTTCACTTAATCTAGCAAATATTTTAAGTGGATGCAAAAGAACTGGAAATTGAGGACAGATTTATGACAGTAAGGCATAATGTATGTCTGTTTAATCTTGTGGGAACCTATTCCGAGTGAAGTTATGTTTCTTTGAAAATTAAGAGGTGTTGAGTAAATACTCAATTTGGCTTACAAGGTGCATCATGATATGATTTAAGTGCTTTCTAGGACATCTTAGACCTTTATGTTGGTATTTATCTCCGAACTATTTGAATATACCTACACACACATTGTTTTCTTGTTACCATTCTAGTCTGCCTCATGTTTTTGTTTCGATTCATTGTTTCACTCTGTTTAAAGCAATTTTATAAATGAAAATGGAAATACTGAGATGGATTTACTTACTTTTGCTATGAATAGGGAAAGCTTGCCTCGTAAGCATACTGGTTAGCTGGCCACATGCGAGGTTTTAGTTTCTAGGCTTTTTGTGATGGAAGTGTCAAGACTGGACAATGAAATAATTCAAAAGAATACTAAGATGCAAAAATATTATCATCTTAAAAATCTGTGACATAAGAAATTAACAAAACTATAAAGTCTAATTGGAAAAAAAAATAAAATTAAATAGATCGAGAATGTAGCAAAAATAAGTTCTCCTCAAATTATGAATATAATAAAATTTTAATCTATTGCTAAAAGAAAATATGCCAGAAGTCTCCTGCATCATCATCACTACTAGCAGGATCTTTAAGGGAATCATCGACATATTAGATTCCCCAATCATCCTCCTTGTACTATTATCTTGTTTTCATTATTTCTCATCATGCTTTATCTGTAACTGTGCCTTCTTCTTACCCTTGAGTCTATGGCACCCTGACAATTTAAGTTGCAGTGGGAAATTATGNACAAAACTATAAAGTCTAATTGGAAGAAAAAAAAAATTAAATAGATCGAGAATGTAGCAAAAATAAGTTCTCCTCAAATTATGAATATAGGCACCGTTTGGTAACCATTATTCTAGAAAAAAATGCATTCTTTGTGTCGAATCACACCTTTTTTGTGGTTGAAAATGAAGGAAAAGTTATTGATGTGATGTAAATATTATTTTATTGATGAATGTGTGGTTGAAAATTAGTAGAAGAATGAGAATGAAAAAAAGAATGGATACCAAACAGAGGCATAATAAAATTTTAATCTATTGCTAAAAGAAAATATCCCAGAAGTCTCCTGCATCATCATCA